TTTTTTTTTTTTTCTTTTTTTGGTTTTTTGAGACAGGGTCTCGCTGTGTAGTTGAGACTGACCTGGAACACGCTTATGTAGCCCAGGCTGGTCTCGAACTCACAATGCTCCTCCTGCCTCAGCCTCCCGAGTGCTGGGATTACAGGAGTGCGCCCCTACGCCCGGCCCCTGTTCGTCTTAATAAACTCAACTCCATAAGTCATCTCCAGATATTTTCTTCGGTCACTCAGCAACCTGCTCCTCTGCCTGAGTACAATTGAGCTATGGATGGATGCCGGCCCAACCCTAGTCAGTCTCCTCATTTGGAAAGCAGGACAATTGCTCTTTTAAAGGCAGCTGAACATCTACTGTGTCCAGGGAAAAACTTGGCACTCAGAAAAACTCAAATTCAGACAGAGGCTAGAGGATTCCTGAGCAGAGGCTGGTCATATGGGGCAGGGTACAGTGCTGCTCCAGGCCCTCTGCCCTGGAGGTGCCTGCTGCTCCTCCTTTGCTCCTTCTCACCCCCCACTAGGGCTCTTGGGGTCTGACTGGCAAAAGAGAGCTAAGAGGTGCCACTTTAGCAGACATGGGTCTTGGCAATTTGTCTGAGGATCTTAGTTTTCTTAAATAAGAACTACAGAAAGACAACTCCAAAGAACAGTGTTAGAGACCACCTTGGCAAGAGGTGTATAGTCTTGGGGTCCCAACTCAGGACCAGAGCTCCAGGAGCCCCAACTTCTACTGAGGGAGGATCCACCAGGTGAGGAGTCTTCATCTTTATTATCACAATAGACTCCACCCATAACCTAGTCCTGTATCATGAGAGAGGCTATCCTAGACATGTCTTTACTTGCAAGGTATTGAGACGGTTTCAGGTCACCAAGGGCCTTCCATCTCAGAACTGAATCCACACCTGCTCAGGCCAAGCTTTGCTAGCAGATAAGTCCATTGCCTGGGGTATGGGAGGTGATAGTCTCCAGCCTTGTAGCTGGATCCCAGGTCAAGGACAACACATCAGAACCTCAAATGCAGAGAGAACGTCAAGACCTTGCAAATAGGGACTGCTCATTAAATATTTCTCGATCTGACTTGACCTGATTAGGTACTAAGTAACCACTAATAACCAGGACAAATAGCATCAGGGGAGGAAGACGGCGCCAGCGTGGGAAACAGGGAAACAGTCTTTACTGCATTTGTAGAAACTAATAATCCAGATCATTTATCCTTGTGACAAAGCTTTGGACCAGGCACAGTCACAGACATGGAACTGGGTTTCCAAATGGGCTTGCATTGAATTTACTGCTGGCACAGGTTGACTTCCTCCACCAATCTGAATGGAAGCATTTAATGTTCAGAATCTGGAATATTAGAGAGAAAACATGGGCTTATGACATCAGGATTTTCCAATCTGGAGGTGCTATGGCTGCTGTCTTTACCTTGCTTAGGCTAGGTCTGCTGGGGCCAGGAAATGGGATCCTTCACCCTCAGCCAGAGAAAAAGCCTGAACCATCATGCTCCCTGCCCACAGGGTCCCACTGGGGCACAGCTATTGTTTCACCCTCTCTGCCAGGCTCTTCTCATCCCTCAGGCTGACCATGACAGTGTGTCCATGCTGAGCATCACTGTTGTGACAGCCGGGAAGCACTGGTTGCTGGAGTTTGCTCCAGAGACGACTCTGGCCTCAGGATGGCCTTACCCAAGAGGAGGACAGGTTGAGGCAGTGCAGCGTGCCAGAGCTGGAGTAGAGGATGTCATCCTTGACCAGCACAGAGACAGCTCTCAGAATGAAGGAGAGGAACAGGTTTAGGTGGATGTAGTTTCTGGTACAGTGAAGCTTCCTGAGGAGGACAGGGGAGATGTAGGAGAGAGAATCAGACAATGAGGTACAGAGCAGCTTCCCATGGGGCACTGGAGAGGTGGAGGAGAGATGATCATACACTGAGGTGAAGTGTGGCTTCTTGTGGGTGGCGTTGGTAATGAGATGCTGATTCTACAGCCATTTTAATACTTACCTTTGTGCCTTAATCTTATGGTTTTCATTTGTAGAAAGCAAGCATTTATTTATGTATTCTATTATTATTTTATAGTTAGGTTTTTCCTGTTGTACAGTGTGACATGTGTTTCTGCAATAAATATTTCTGATTATTGTTTGTGGCTATATTTCAGGACAAAAGTATATAGGAAGGCCCTGAAGAAGTGCGCTTAGAGGGTGTGGATACGCAACAGGCTTTGCTCGACTGGAGCTGCTTCTTTTCTCTTGGCTTCTCCTGATGTGCTGTAGGGCTCAAGCTGACAAGGCTAGATGTGGGGTGTGTCTTTCCTCCTTCCTCTCTGTCTTTTTTCCTAGTCTTTCAAGGGAGAATTTCAGTTGCATATAAAGAAGTAGGTTTCTGTCCTGACAGACACTGCTGCAGCTATGGGAGGTAAAAAACCTGAGCTCACTAGGGTTCATCTGGAATTTAAAGCAACAGGCCAATGTTCTCAGCATTACTTCATCTCACTGTATGACACAATTGAAAACATTTGCTCAATTTTCTCAAGAAGATTCTAAAAAAACCACCAAAATTTTTGCTGTTAAAACTCTTCAATTGGGCCAGGGATTTAGCTCAGTGGCACTGTTGCCTGCCTTGCAAGCTCAGGGTCCTGAGATCAATCCCCAGTACTGCAAAAAAACAAAAAACAAAACCCAAAAAACACTCTTCAATATATACAAGGTGTGAATAAAGCCTATGGCAAATGTTTAAATTTTAAAAAATGATAGTAAAAGATACATTGCCACTAATCCCCCTCAGAATATCCAAGATGCTCCCCTTGCTTCAAACACACTTATCCCATCATTCTTGGCAATGTGTCTTTTACTGTAACAAGGTTTTTAAAAATTTAGCTCAGTGGTTCCACTACCGGCTTCACAAGAGCAAGGACCCAAGTTAGATCCCTGGTATCTCCCAAACAAGTTTTTAAAAAATGTAAACTTTCACTCTTTGATCATCCCTTATATGAGCAAAAGCCACTGATGAGAGAGTTCATGGAGCAGCTCAAGGCAACAGGAGACAGTGGCCAAAATGATTCTGTGTCAGCCAGAGTGTGCTGAGAGTTTTGAATATTTTACAAGACTTTGTTGTCAGATTTCCTGGGAACAGCATGGATGCCATCCAGATCTTCAGTGACCACAGTCCACTGATGGTGTGACTTATGGTTCCTTTGTGCAATGCACTGAATTTGACACCCTAAAAGCAAATTTTACTTAACATAGGTAGAAAGATTGTAAACAATATACTTTTTCTTCAACATTAAATTGATTCTAAAAAAGGTGATGTGGTTTTGACAACAATATTGTGAATATTAATGAAAATGACCCTGGGTATCTGATTCACTTGCTAAGACTTTAAAGTTTGGACAACTGACGTATGTTTGAGCAACTTTTTCAATTGCAAATTTTATGAAATCTAAATGTAGACCAAGTATTTCCAATAAAAATTTAGTGACCATATTCAGTGATACTGTGGGAATGATAAACTGGATTTTGAAAATTTACATGAACAAGGAATGTCAAAGTGCACACTAATGTTCTTTATTGGGATCACAGGTTGAACTGACAATAGTTTGGATCTAATGGTTTAAATAAAATGCATTATTACAATGATTTCCTCTGGTTTCTTTCTATTTTTAAGATGTGAAATCTAGAACATTTAAAATTATCCAAATGGTTGGTATCTCTCATCTGCATGGCCACCATATGGGGAGGTGTTGGCCTAGGTTCCCTTCTGCTGGACACCTGTCAAAGCCCTCAGCAGCCACTACAGCACTCAGTTCAGTCCTCCAGGGTGTCCCATGGGCTCCAGAGCATTGATAATTTGTGGGAAATACAAAATGGCAATATTCCCAATTCTGATATACAGATTTAATATAATCCCAATAAAAATACCATCAACATTTTCCAAGAGGCTGGGGATTTAGCTCAGTGGTTCCGCTGCCTGCCTTGCAAGTGCAAGGACCCCAGTTCAATCCTCAGTGCCAAAAACAAACAAACAAACAAACAAATTTTCCAGAGAACTAGAAAAAACAATCCTAAAATTCATAGAACAAAAAGACATCCAGGATAGCAAAAGCCATCCTGGGTAATGAGAGCAAGGCAGGAGGCATCACAGTCCTAGATTTAAAGTTATATTAACAAAGCTACAGTGATAAAAACAGCACGATACTGGCACAAAAACAGACATGTTTATCAGTGGAACATAATAGAGGATACAGAAACAAGCCACACACATTCAGCCAACTGATGTTTGACAAAGAGGCCAAAAGCATACCCTGGAGAAAAGACAGCCTCTTCAACAAATGGTGCAGGGATGATTTGGAATCTACATGCAGAAGATTGAAGCTAGAACCATATCTCTCACCATGTGCTAAACCAAGAACAAGATGGATCAAAGATCAAAATATTAAAACAGAAACACTTAACCTTCTGGAATGTCAAGTACATAAAACTGTTGAAGTCATGGGCATTATCAAGGACTTTCTGAATAACCCCAATTGCAAAAGATAACATCAAAAGTCAACAAATGAGATTATATTACATTTAAAAGCTTCTGCACAGCAAAATAAACACCCAACAGAGTTAAGAGACAACCTACAGAATGGGAACATTTTTTCTAGTTATACTTGGACAGAAAAGTAATATCTAGAATGTATAAAAAACTCAAAAAGGTTAGAATTCCCAAATAAAAGACCCACTCAATAAATGGACAACTGAAATAGGTAGACAATTCTCAGAAGAAGAAATACAGATGGCCCATAAATAGATGAAAAAAATTTCAGCATCGATGGCCATTAAAGAAATGCAATTCAAACAACACTGAGATTTACCTTATTCCAGAAAGAATAGCGGTTGTCATCAGGAAATCAATAATAAATGCTGGCAAGACTATGGTGAAAATCCCTCTTACATTGTTGAAAGGAATGTAAATTAGTACAACCACCATGGAAGTCAGTATGAAGATGTCTTAAAAAACAAAACAAAACTAAAACTAGAAATTTCATTTTACCCGGATATTCCTCTTTGAGGTATCTGTCCAGATGAGTTAATGCCATCATATTACAGTAATACATGCACACACATGTTTATAGCACCCCAATTCTTAAGTGGCCTTTGTTTCCATTAACAGATAAATCAATAAAAAAAAATGTGGTATTTACACATGATGGAGTACTACTCCACTACAAAGAAGGATAAATCTGAGTCATGTGTAGGAAAATGGATGCACCTTAAGACCACAATGTTTAGTGAAATAAATCACACACAAACTTAAATACTATATTGTCTCCTCTTATATGAGAAAGCCAAAATATATAAAAATACAATAAAAAGCAAAATAAAAGATAGAGGAATTAGGAAGATAGAGCCACTGCAAATGGGAAGGGGATCAAGAGATATAGGAAGAGGGAAAAGGGAGTGGAAGGGAATGTAAAAAAGACTAAAGATACTGGATGCTATGTATATGTATGATATACCTACAATGAAAGTCATTATGTATTGCAAACATGTCCTGATAAATAAGTTTAAAATAAAATAAAATAGAGTAACTGAAAATAGAAGAAAACAAGGCTCAGGAACACCTAAGCCTAAGCTTATTAGATACCCAAATTCGAGAGATGCAGATGAAGACAACACTGAGATTCCACCTCACCCCACAAAGAATGGCTGCTATCAAGAAATCACACAATAACAAATGTTGGTGGGGTTGTGGGGATAAAGGAACCTTTCTCCATTGTTGGTGGGAGTGAATACTGGTGCAAACACTATGGAAATCAATATGGAGATACCTCAAAGAGCTGGGATTAGAGGTTCCATTTGACCCAGCCATCCCTCTGCTGGGTATCTTTCCAAAAGAATTAAAAGAATCATATCAGGGTGATATATGTGCACTTATGTTTATAGCGGCACAGTTTGTAATAGCTAAAACTTGGAAACAGCCCATTTGCCCATCAGTTGGAGACTGGATAAAGAAGATGTGGCTTTTCTATAAAATGGAATAATACTCAGCCATAAAGAATGAGAAATTAGATCCATTCATAGGAAAATGGATACATACGGAGGATATACTCCAAAGTGAAATAAATAAGTCACACATGTATAAATACCGAATAGTTTCTCTGGTGTGAAAAACTATAATAGTACATAAGATCCTAATGAGATAATTGACAGTGTGAAATAGGAAGAAAGGGGCTAAAGGTATAGGAAAAGTGGGAAGGGTAGGGGAACGGTAATAAGGGAAAAGAAAAAAATATGAGAAAATGAAAAAATGGAAATAAAGTGTAAATGGGGAGGGTAGGAGGGGGTGAAGGGAGGGCAGTGACAAGGGGAAAAATGAGAACCAGGACCTGTCATGTAAAGCTGGGTGTGGTGGCACACTCCTGTAATCCCAGCACTTGGGAGGCTGAGGCAGGAGGGTCGCTATGAGTTCAAGACCAGCCTAGGCTACATAGTGAGTTCCAGGTCAGTCTCAACTATATAGTGAGACCCTGTTTAAAAAAAAAAAAAAAGACCTGTCATGTAAAGGGAGGGCAAAAGATCCCAATAATGAATGTAACTGTACTGTACACCTAAAATGTAACAATAAACTCAATTAAAAAATTTTAAAAAGATACCCAAATTAATAAAATATAAAATTGAAAATAAAAGCATAGAATACACTATACTTTGCAAACACAAAATAAGACAGTAAATATAACTACATTTATAGAAGACAAGGTAGATTTTTAAGGTAAGGGACATAATTAAACATGGTCAGTTTAAACAGATATACTCCTAATAACAACCTCAAAATGCACAGAGTAAATAGTGAAAGAAATAAAAAGTGGAATGGATCAGCTCACAATTGCAGTTGGAGATTTAACACATTTACTTTTAGAATAAGCAGTTAAAATAGTGATGTAAATGATATAAATCAGCAACACAGAATTTACATTGTTTTCAGATCAAAGTAAAATAACATGCTAGACCATAGGGCAAGTCCCAAGAGAATTGAGAGTGGGTCTCCTTACAAAACCTTGAGGAAGAACTTGCAGACTACAGAGCACTGACCCTAGTCCTATACAGTCTAAGCCCTCTTAATCCACCAACACCGTCCTACAGCAACCTCTGATGTGGCTCCACTGGCCTCCACACTTTACAGTTGCACACATGGGTTAGGTCAGTTGTCCAGGGTCATGCAGCTATTGAGAGCTCAGCAGCCTCTCTCCGTAGGGCACTCCAGATCTTCTAAGTGGCGAGAGAAGGCTACACTGCTCTTGTATTTTTACACATTTGTGTGCTACCTAGGGATTTAATAAATGGTAGCTCTAGTGGACTTTACCCAAGGTCAGTACTGTATCATCTCTTCACATTGGAAATGCAGACTCTCGAGATACATGCTCCTTGCTCACATGTTCCAAGGGCTTGGCACACAGTGGCTCTAGGCTGGGAGTCCCCATCTCCTGCCCCTCTGTGGTGCCAAAACCTTGCTTAACTCACATTTTTTTTTGCAGAATTGCTCATTTCTGCTCCTTACCTGAAGAGGCAAAGAATTATGCTTCCGGTTGCAAGAGACATCAGAGAGACACTGTAGCCCAGGGTGTAAATGGCCTTCACCAGAATATAAAATGTGATCTACAAAAAAAGAATATCAGATCTGTAACTGTTGTTGACCCATGTAGGACAGCAGGGTGTTCTGAGGTCTGGTGCTGGTTTTCTGGGGCAGGAGACGGGGTCATTTTATTCTTCCACCTCCATTTGAGCCCAAAAGGTCATCACCCTTTGAATACATACCCTTTTGTGTAAGGCATGAAGGATGACTTTGGGATGGGAACTGGATCTACCACATCAGGGCCCACAAAAGAGCAGAGCTGAGCTGCACCCAGCGGGGTGAGGTTCCCTGAGCCGTGCAGTCTGGACATACCCACAGCTAGGTGACAGTTTCCTGACCACATATCTGAGCACAGCAAGAGCCATGTGGCTTTACAGGTCTCAATGAGGTACTCAGAGTGGCCTTGGGTTTTTTTTTTTTTTTTAAATCTAGTGTTTTTCTTAGGTTAGAAGCTTCATGGCTCAATATTTTTAATCTCCACAGAATCAGCAGGCGCAGGAGGGATTAGTGACAATAATGGTCACAGAACCAAGTCACTTTCCTGCACATGTCCTGCTGCTCAGGGTTCGAGTGTGGGCCATGGAGGGCCTCCTCGTTATCGGGATAGAGATCCACTGTTCACAAGAGGACAAGAGAAATCATTTCAATGACAGCAGTTTCCTTTACCCGTTTAACAGGGGAGAGCACAGTGTGCTGCTCAGAGTCCAAGGAGTCACCAATTCCCAGAAATGTGCTGGAAGCACAGAATGCCCCCAGCACTAAGTCAATGACTGCCTCTTGGACTCCACCCTAAAGGACTAGTATGAAGCCCAGACAAAGGCATCTTTATAAGGAGAAGCCATCCGTTCCATGGCAATAGAAGCTGCCTAAATGTTTGGTGAGAAGGAGAGGCAATCAGTCAGGTGCCAGCACACAGCCAATACACTTCCTGCTGCTTCCTGCAAGCAACACACAGTTACCAGGTGCCTCTGGGGGCTGAGGAAGTCAGTGAAGCAAACAGACAAGAACCCTTGCCTCAGGGATCTTATACTTCAGGAAGAGAACAAAAACCACCCCCAGAATGGCGGGGTGAGTCACAGGGTGAGTATGAGGTGGTTATGGAAGAAATGCTCATGGCACAAGTTCCAGGTGGTTGCATTGGGCGGAGGTGAGTGATAGTCATGAGAACTGTGGTCAAGATCTGCCTTGGGGTGAACAGGGAGCAGCCAAGCAGAAGGAATGGCTAGTGTAAAACCCCAGTGGTGATGAGGTCCATTAATACTGATAGGGAGGGGGAAGGAAGGTGTTCAGGCTGTGAGAATGGGCCTTGCAGCAGCAGGGTCTACTGGGCAACATGCTCTGCCAATGCCTCAGGCTGCTCAGTTGGATGGACTCACAAGGGCTGGCAGATGGGTAGGGATGGTGCTGAGTACATGTTCTAGTTGGACACTGTGGAAAGAGTGGCAAGAGTGGGCTCCTAGCAGCTTAAAGGCAGGGCCAACAGGACTTCTCAGCAGATAAGCTATGGGATCCGAGAGAAAATGGAGCCAGAGTGGATGTGAGGGTTCTGCTGAGGAAGTGGGCAAGGAGCTGTATGCACTGAGATGGGAAGGGGCAGGAAGGGCACTTTTTTTCATTAAGTTGATTGGTACATTTTAGAACTGGAGAAAGATGTGTTTTTTAAAAAAAAAATATAAAATGAAGTACTACTCAACCATAAAGAATGAAAACTAGAGAAATTTATAGCTAAATGGATGCACATTGAGGAAGGGCATTTTTGATGAATTCAATCCACATGGAAAGATGACCAGGAAGAACTTCAACACTAATCAGAAGAAAGAGGGACAGCCAAGAAACAGAGGAAAAACCTGACAGGTTCTGCTTTTCCCACTCGGAAACCATTGCTCTTGTGCAAGACTTCCACCCCCTGGTTTTTCCCTGAAGCCCACCTTGCCCTGTACCCACCTTACCCTGATGACTCACTCAGGGCATCTCGCCACAGTACATCTGCTTCCTCTACTCTCTCCAGGCCACCTCTCATTGCTTGCTGCCACCATAATGTACACTATGTAGCCCCTGGGCCCAGCATGGTGCCCAGCCAGCACTGATACACTAAGAACAAATACAGGCACAATGAGGACAGAGCTGTGAGGTCTGGGCTCTTCTGAAACAGCAGGACCCTCTTGTGAAGCAGTCATCTAGCCTGATATGCAGAGACAGGGACAGGTACGGGGACTGGTACGGGGACAGGTACGGGGAGCAGGCTTTCCTTCAGGGCCTCTGTTTCTGTCTAGCCTAGAGGGCTCAGAGCCATGCAGAGCAGGCAGGTGAGTCAGTATATCAGGCCAGGAAGTTATCACTTGCCTGCACCATTTCCCACATTCTTCTTCACAACCTGACAGGGAACCACAGCTCCAAGGGACATTCCCAGGGAAGTCCTGCACTCACTCTGCCTGGGTTGGGCCTCAGGATGATACTTCGAGAGGAAATTAAATTGACCAGTGCAATCCCTCACTTAGGCAAGTAATCAGAGAAAAAACACATTTGGTCTAGCAAACTAATGCATTAATAAAACATTAGAAGAAATTTTTTCCTGACTTGTTAAACCTCAGTGGTCAACCACAACCCCCACCATATGGAACACTGGTGCTTTCCAATATGCCTCTTTCCATGAGGCTCTTTAAAGTAATTAAAATTAAAGAGTTTAAGCCCCAGTTACTTGGTTGTACTGACCACATTTCCATGCTCCACACCCCATGTGGCCAGCAGCCTCACACTGAACAAGGCAGATTAAAAGCATTTCCATCCCAGAAGGAGGCCCATTGGCACTGACACTCAGTGAGAACATCTGCATTTATCTACTTTGGGGCTGATAATTAACAGTCATGCGTGTTATCAAACTTCCACCCCACTTGCAGGAGGACCCAGCCGATACTTTAAAGACTCCCGCAGGTCACCAGCTCTACTTGGTTGAACCAGGCCAGGTTTATTCCCAGTGCAGAGCCTGTGCAGACTAGAGTGTGGAGACCACACATAGCCACAGCCACAGCCATAGCCATACCAGGGCTACAGATCCCTCTGTCACATAAAGTGAGCCCTGCCAGACACACTGGCCTTTCTGTAGAAAGGACTCGGTGCAGGAGAGGGCTCACGCTGTTCTGATACCTCAGTGATGCTCATCTACCTCAACCCTTTTGCCGTCCTTTCAACAAGGAAGTGCACAATTCAATGTTTAAATCTCAAGAAGGGACAATAGCCCCAATCACCACAGGGTTCAAAAAATGCATGACTTCATACTAGAAAGAGAACAACCGAGTAGGAAATGTGCACTCTTGGTAAGAAAGGGCACAGTCCAGCAGCTATGACTTAAGTAGTTAATTGTAGCACTAATTTTGGACAGAAACAATTGCAAGGCCTTGAAGTTCTTTCTGTAGATCAAAGGTATGGCTGAAGCCAAGGAGAAGGCAAAAGACAATTTTTGGAGAGCAGATCCCTTGGTACAACCAGCCCTCCACAGACACCCACTCAACAGGCCCAGACTTCCTCTTGGTGCTCCTCTCAGGTGAGAAGTGAACAGCACAGGTTCACAAAACAAAGCACTGAAATCAGTGGTGTACCCTGAAAACAAGGAGCAAAACAAGGTGGTCTGCTTTTAGATATGCAGCTGTCCCACCCATGGTCCTACAAAAGGCTTGGCATGTGAACTGACGAGAGGAGTATAAAGCCCAGGCCTTTTAACATGCAAGCCCAGTCTTTTCACGTGTTTTTTTCCTTTAAGGTACTAGCACTGATTAAAATGTGTCAGAGAAATGCTAAATGTTTATTATGACAGCAAAGCCATAGACCTCAAACCTGAGGCTCTCTTTCCTGGACCACCAGCTGCTAGAAAAAAAACACATTTCTGGGTAGCACAAGTGATACTTTTCCGCTTCTGCAGGAAGAGAGACCTCCTCCCAGATGAGGCTTCTATGTCCCAAGGCAACAGCAGGCTGAGGAACAGTGTCCTCCCTGGGGTAGAAAATCCTTGGCTGTTTGTAGGTAGAGTTTTTAACTCCCAATTTTTTATACGAGATTTGTATTTCTTGCTGAACATATTTGGTATCACTGGTTAATTTGATTCATTCTATCCAACACATTATAGGGAGCTTAACTCAATCCAGACACTGCAAAGCATTCCAGGAAGTACAGTGATGCCCGAGAAGGCCAAACCACAGCTTCAGCTTCACCACAAGAATTTTACTCTGGGGACTGTCCCACGAGATGTGAGGTAGAAATTGATATAGGTATGAGTTAAAATTTGTGTTCATGTGTCCATTAAAAAGATAGGAACATCCACATTTCAAATATTCGTTTCTCAAAGCTGGCTTAGAGTTTACATATTGTCATGGTTTGGATCAAAAACATCCCTCTCATCTATTTAGACCTGGAACTTTTGGAAGGTGATTAGGTCTAGGGATGTTAACCTGACCAAGAGATCAATCAACTGATGTATTCATAGCTGAATGCACTGTTAGGAGGTGAGGCCTGGTGGAGACAGTTGGTCATTGGAGGCTTATCCCAAAAGGGATATTCTTGACACTGGTCTCTCTGATTTCCTCCTACTGACTGCTTCCTGGCTGTGATAGGCTGAGTAGCTTTCCTCTATGAGGCCCTTCTGCCGTGATTTTACTTTGCAGCTAGCCCACCATGAACTGAAATCTCTGAAGCCACGAACCACATTATTATCTCTCATTTTTAAACTGTGTATATCAGGTGTTTGGTCACAGGGATAGAAAGCTGATATACACATCCTGGTGTTAGGCATTTAAGAAGTCTTCATTTGGGCTGGGGATTTAGCTCTGTGGTGCCATGCCCACCTGGCAAGCGCAGGGTCCTGAGTTTGATTCTCTGCACCCCCAAAAAAGAAGTCTTCATTTGGTTACTGCCAACCATTCCATCAGAACCTTGCAGGGAAGAGTGAGCTGGAGACTTGAGTCTAGCAAAGGGCTGGGAGGCCTCTACTTCAGCAGAATGCAGAACTCAAGGAACCACCAAGTGCTGCTAA